AGAATAGTTAATGTTTAGCATTAATGACACTTTTCAAATAGCATATTTGATATGCAGTAAAATTTCTTTGTAAAATGTTAATGTAAATAAAAACTTATGCAGGACATGCTAGTGACTTAAGATTAAAAAAATTGATTAGATGAATTAAATTTAAAAAAGTATTCAGATACGTTAACATCTTTAGTATATAATTTGTGCGGTCTTAGGTTTAATTTAATGATATTTTTAGAAACAAGAATTTGAGAGTAACTCTCTAGAATAAAAAAGTTGTATAGTAAGATAATTTAGTTCATCTTCGTTAAGATTGTAAATGTTTTGGTTATAAATTTTTTCATTTAAAATTAAAATAATTATATTACTACTTTTGAGTAATTAATATATTAGTTCATAAAAAGACATCTTTCTTAAATAATTTTAAAAAAATTAATTATTTAACGTATTTTAATACATACGTATTATCTACAATTAAAGTGAAATATGATAAAGAAAGTCTTACATCTATAAATCAAGATGTATTATTTGATTTTTGCCAATCAAAATATACCAATTAGTTAAATGCAATAAAAAGTTTAATTCTAATAATTCAGAACTACACAGTATCTATAAACTAATATTAATTTTTATAATAACGATAATGATAATACCTACTAAAATTCACTTATTAATAATACTAATCCTGTAAATTTTTGTCAGCGTATTGTAAAACCATAAAATAATATTCTTTTGAAGGATCTATTTTTGTAATTTATTAAAAAATAGAATTAGGTAATATAACCGGTATTACGTATTTTTGGGGACTCCCAAGTACCTCATTCAATATGATTCGACATTGTACACAAGCACTATAATTAATTCTATACAGCATTGAAGTCATTATTATATAATGATTAGGGTTCTGTAAATGCCCATGTCTGGCACATTGGCACCAGGCTGGGCACTAGTACCATATGCCGTGTCTATGCCTATAGACACAAAAGGGCATAAAATCTCAGCACATTAAAGATATGCACAAAGCGCCAGGCACTAGCAAAGGTATGACAAAGTGCTAGGCACAAGGTGCCAGAATGGTACCGGGACAACACCGGGCACAATTAAATAATAAATATCAAATTTCTGTGCCTGTGCTTATGTCTATGCCAAAATTTTGATACCATACCTATAGTTTTCTAAGTATTTATGCCTATGCCTGAATTTTTTTGAACACAAGCACAGGCACGTGCCCGGGTTGTAGGATCTAATAATGATGATCAATTAGCGTTAATTGTAACAGTAATAGAAATTTTCTGAAATTAGTAAAAACACGTGTTTTTACGTGTTAAACGTTTTTAGGCTGATTCAACATCGTCAATAATCGAGGTCACAGCAAATAATCGAGGTCACAGCAAATAACTTTCCGATGTTATAATTTTATATTACTGATCATTCGATCAAAATTTTATGATTGGAAATATCATGCGACTGCAATCTCGAATGATTAGTAGGATTATAACATCGGAAAGTCATGTAACTGCGCCCCAATTATTAGAGAGGAATGCTGGAATTCTTAAATTTTAGGCCACGCAAAGTTAATTTTTCGTTTTGCATTACCTGCCGACCAAATTTTCAATTTTTTAAAAATATTTTTTTTAAGTCCCAATTGTGCCAATTGTTCGATTTTTGCTATTTAATTTTTTCAACATGTTATCCGGTATCACCTGATAAATCCCGAAATTATCCTATAGGACCTCCCGCCTGCCGACCGATTTTTCGGATTCCATGTAATGCAAAACGAAAAATTAACTTTGCGTGGCCTTAAAATCTGTTTAGTAATGGTATACCTTTTGTAATGCCATAGAAGGTAATGATATTGGGGTGACCCTGTGCATTTCGCAAAATTTCAACCTTATATTAAATTTAAAGCATATTGGTGAGATTTATTCGAAATATAATAATCACTACTTTTTTTTAGCCTTTAGGTACAATGAATAAAACTTTCATTTACCTCTCTGTTAAAGTTTTGATCTTGTGTACCATCCCTTAGGCACTTAAGTGCTTTCGTGATTTTGCAACATTTACACTCAGATTTATAAATAACTCCTGAACCACCACTATTGATTTCTACAATTTTGTCAAAATCAATATGATCATAAATCTCATGATGAGTGATTTTTGTCGAGAGAGTTTCCATGATTTCATAAATCGATAAAACAGTGATAAAGAACGTAACGTACGAAAACAATTAAAGTTTATACTTCAGAAACTTTGGCTGAATTTATTTATCGTCATCGAATCTATCTGGTTGGTGTTATTGGGAAAATTTGTACTACAATTAATGTGGCTATTTTTATATACTAGACAATTAATGGGCAATTTTTTATAAAAAAAGTCAAAGATCGCCAAATAGTGTTCTCCAATGAGTCGGCTCAAATAGGCTTACTCAATATTCCATTACCTATTTAGTTTGTACACTATATGGGTAGGTGTTGCATATTAGATCTAGTGATGGGCAATGCGCGATTCTCTGTCACGTGATTAGGGTTGCTGGTGCAGTTATAATCTAATGGTGTGCCACTGGTGCACCACTAAAACTTTTTGGTGCATGGCGTGCCATTAGGTGCACCATTATATTATATTATCTACTT